ATGGTATTTGGAAAGCTTACACTAGTGTTGTTTCTAGCCTAATCTTTATTGACCTGCTTACAGAAACTGCCTCTCCGGTTAACTCTTATTACATTATAACAGCTAAGGCGAAACGCCCATCAACCTGAGTGACCTTGAGTTGGCCAAGCCCACCAAGTCACATGACCACCGAGCCCCACCTACCCATATGGTCATTAGGGCAGAGAACCGGTTGTTAAATTATTTGAATCCCACCGCTGGTCCGCGGGATTTAAAATTATAAATTTAGTGGTCTCTGAGGTTCGAAAGTTTGGTGACCCTTGATCTAGAGGACTACTCAGAGCAGGGGAGGGAGGAAATCATATTCTGAACTGCACCCAACCACATTAAGATTATCCAAGTGAGCACGGTTAGATTCTTCCCACTGCAGCTCCCAGCCTGTCATCACTACAACTTTGATGAAAGAGCTAGGAGCCAAAAACAGGGTGGGTAGAAAGATGTTTGGAATTATTTGATGGATTGGAAGCCTACTCAGCATGGGGCCTGTAAGTATCCCATGGAACCCACTACCACATGAATTTTTCATTCAGCATATACTTGTAGATCACAGGATATAACATTGATTACTACATTAAGCGGATTTAAAGATGAATAATTCAACATTGTTCATGTTTAATGTTTCATATGTAGTGTCTCCCCAGATGACATGCACAACACTGGTGCTATCATTAGGAAGAATGAGGTGAGAGCTTCAGGCAGAGATTGTGAATGTATTAAAAGATAGCAAATATTGCTAAGATTGGGTTTTAACAACTTATATTATACTGTATTTAGGTCTATAAATACTGTAGGTAGTATAGCCTGGATGGAAATAGTTAATTTAACCCAGGTTTCGCTATCGAAAGTAACATTAGTATATATCTAATTCTAAAGCTCTTTTATTGTGCAGAATATAAGTTAAATATGAGCTAAAGTGTCTTCCCTGTAAAAAGAGCAGAGGTGGGTTCCTAACAGTTCGCACCTATTCGGTAGAACCGGTTCGTCAAATCTACCGAACCGGTTAGAAGAGGTTCCACCAGTGGACCCGGAAAGCAGGCCACACCTACAGAAGAGGTTCCAAACTTTTTTGAAACCCACCACTGAAAAAGAGTGACCTATGGCAGTCTGTAAAAACAAATGTAATTGGAGACTATGAAAGTAATTTAGGAGAAACATGGGATTTTCTTTGGACAAGCAATCATAGAAAATTTGAGCATTAGTTTTGAAGCAAATGAATAAAAAAAAATCCAGAAAGCAATTAGAAAACATTCTATTTGTTTTAATTGGTTTCTACTTCAAACTGGAATGAAAATAGTTGAGAAGAAGACATTTTCCAGATATAAATACATGTAATTACAAAGTTCCACTATGTGATCTTATATCTAAAAGTTTTTCCTCTCTGGACAATAGAAGCTAATTTCACCTACAACATGAACAATGTGTCAGGCCTGCAGTCAAATTCCTTTTAGGATCTTTGGCCTGCCACACTCTCTATTGTTTTACTATGCT